AAAAAAAAAAAAAGTAGAGAGCAAGGAAAAAGAATCAGATGTTTCAAAATGTTGATTCATCAGTATACTGAATAATTCGGTTAGAATTTACAGCACTTCAACGGATAGATATCAGCTCAAAGAGACTTGAATTTTTATTACTCACCAACATTTTTTCCATTGTAAATTATGAAACAGGCAAAAACAGAAGTAAATTGTAGAGAAATTATCGGACGAAAATTTGACCTGTGATCACTAAGATTTATTCGCCGCCAACAACGATAGTTATTAGTGCGGAAAAAGACCTCATATTTGGTCGTTTGAATATTAAATAGTGGTCATATCCGATAGCTACAATGCGCCGATCCAGGTATCAATCTTTTGTAAATCCTTCTTGAACAATTCAAATAAATCATCATCTTTTAGTTTTTGATGTTTTCAAGCAAAAGAAAAAATCCCGTCTGTTTTTGCTATATTGGTAAAGTAGCTGCTTTTAGCATAATCATCAGGAAACAAAAACAATTAAAATCAGACACAACAGCAGTTTTTGAAAATTTATTAAAAAGTTAGAATTAAATAGAATGGAAGTGTTATAACTGAAAACAAAACGAAAATATTTTATTTGATTTTCACGGGCATAGACCACATTAGTATTAGGTTTGAAAAAAGTCAAATAAGCCATGAATATTGGTTTCAAAAAATTTAGAATTTTTTTCTGTTTTTCTTTTCCTGTGTTTTATAAATAAACAAAGGAAAGAAATAAAGTGTTAGCACTGGAAAGGAGGGAAGTTTAAATGGTTGAGAGAGAGGGGAAGAAAAAGACTGGATTTGAATGACGGTGATACGTTCTAAGAAAACAAAAACTGCTACATAAAATTAAGCAAAATAAAGTTATTATTTTTCAGTTTATTAACATATTCCTCTTTTTCTCTCAGGTCAAATAATCAGGTAAAAGAAAAGTTAGTGTTTTTTTGTGTATGTGTCTAAATTCTAAGCACAAATAGTCAAACTGTACTGGTTTACATAAAGGGAGGGG